GGGAGTGTCAGAGATAGTGCGATTGGCACAGGACAGAGCGGAGTTTAGGGCTGTTGTACATAGGGTCGCTATGAGTCGCAGGCGACTCGACGGCGCATAACAACAACAACATTCACTTGCTAACTTGTTGTTGTTGATGATGTTGTTAGGTGTTGTGAAGTACAATTCATAGCAACCTTCTAAATAGTGAATGTGTACTCTGCCCTATTCTGTACCATCCTCAATCATCATCTTCGACATACTTGAGCCCATTCTGCCGTCACTGTGTTAGTTAGTCTCCTTAATAGTTTTCCTCTCTTTCCCTCACCCTCTACATTTCCAAACATAATGTCCCTTACAAACCATAGTCCATCCTAACAACATACCATAGGAAAAAGAATGTGGCTCAAAGGAAGGATCAAAGGAAGAGTCATCAATAACCTGTGTTATGCTGATGACATAACTTTGCCAAGTGAGGAGGTCTTGAAACACTTGCCAAGGATCAACGACTACAGCATTCAATATGGATTACATCTTAACATCAAGGGGAAAAAACCCTCCTCACCATTAAGCCAGTAGGCAACATCATTATAGATGGCGAGGGGATAGAAATTGCCAGTTGTTTCATTTTGCTTGGATCCACAGTCAACACCCATAGCAGCAGCAGCCAGGAAATCAAAAGACGAGTTGCATGGGGAAAGTCGACTGTCAGAGACTGCACCAAAATGCTAAACAGCAGTGAAGTCCATTCGAAGACTAAGGTGATCCAAGGCATGGTCTTTTCAATCATTTGCTAACCGTCTAAAAGTTAGACAATAAATAAAGATGACATAAGAAAAAATGATGCCTTTGAGTTGAGGCGTTGGCAAAGAGTGCTGACTGTCTCATGGACTTCCAAAAGAGACAAGTCTATCTTGGAAAAGGTACTGTCAGGGTGCTCCTTGAAGGCAAAAATTGTGAAACTTCATCTCATATACTTTGGGCATGTTGTGAAGAGGGACCAGTCAAGTGGAAAGAGGGGAAGACCTATGGATTCAACAAGTTATATTGACACAGTGTAATAGTGGCCTCAACTGTGGCAGAGATGATGAGGATTTCACAGTATAGGGCAGGTTTCAAATTCATTGTTCATAAGTTTACTATGAGTCATTGTCTATGTGACAGCACTTAACAACAACATGCCCCAAGGAGAGAGCTGCTCCATAAAGAAAGATAGACAATCTCCTCCATGTGATTTACTGCCTTTGAAAATGTGCTCAAAGGTCAGCTATGGGTCAGCTCCAACTCAACAGTACACAACAACATGCTCAAAGTATGTGAGATGAAGCTTTGAAACTTTGCTACCCATGCCTCTAAGGAGTACTCTGGCTGTGCTTTCTCCAAGACATATCCATGGGATATATGCAGTATTCCTCCCCAACATTACTGCTTAAAAACCTAAATTCTTCTCTCATCCTTATCCACCACTGTCTTGCTCTTAAATATAGCAAGTGATTGAAAAGACCATGACCTGAATGAGGAGCACCTTGGTCTTTAAACTGACATCAGTGTGCCTCAGTTCTTTGGAGAGGTCCCTGACAGTAGACTTCCCCAATGCAGTGCGTCTCCTGGTCTCCTTATTGCTAGTACTAAGGAAGTTGGCTGTGAATCTAAGTTAAGATGAAATCATTGATAATTTCAAAAACTTACTGAAATTCTTTAGGCAGGCAGACTCACAGTTTTTTAAAGTGAGAGACCACTAGTGCTAGGTTAGAGGACAGATTAAAAAAATAATGACCTACTTAATTTTTGTTAGATCCTATCAAGTAGACTACAACTTATAGTGACCATAATAATGAGTCTGAGCCTTACCCTATCCTGCATAATCCTCAGAATCTCTGATATGCTTCAGCCCATTTTACAGACACTGTATCAATCCATCTTGTTGAGATTATTCCTCTCTTTTACCCTCCACTTTTCCCCAATACTTTGTCTTTTTCCAATGACCAGGCCTTTCTAATCATATGTTCAAAGTATGTGAGATGAAGTTTCCTGTCATTAGAGAAGGAATGCTAAGTCCTGTTAGCTGTGTAGAAAATGTCCAGGTTCTGGTGACTTTGGAAGGACTAGCAAGTATCATCCAGATAAGGTTGCTCATAAGAAATGAAGAGTACCAAGTTTATTAGTGAAAGAAAAGTTTAAGAAGAAGGAGGGTCTATTAAGAGAAAAGAAAAATTACAATACACTGTCAAAAGAAGTAGACAATGGGTCTTCTTCAGAGTGATAAAATCATCATCTGGGGTAGAGTGCCAGTATTTATGGAATCTTCTAATCTTTTCTCCCTCTATTATAATATTGCTTATTGGGTTTGTGAAGAGTGTGGCAAATGGAGAAAAGACTGAAAATGTCAATGATTTCATCTTATTTGGATCTATGATCAACAGAAAAGAACCAAGCAGTAAAGAAATCAAAAGACTTGTCACATTGGAAAGATCTGCTGTAAGGGAACTCTCCAAAGTATTAAAGAGCAAAGATGTCTGTTTAAAAACTAAGGTACACCTAATCCAAGACACGATCTTTTCAATTACTTGCTGTGCATCTGAAAGTCAGATGGCAAAAGAATTGATGCCTTTGATTTGTGGTGTTGGAAAAGAATATTGAATATCCTGTAGACTGCCAAGGGAATAAACAAACATGTCTTAGAGAAAGTGAAACCAGAGTGCTCTTTGGAAGCATATCATATACTTTGGGCATGCTGTTGGGGGGGCGGGCGGTACTTGGAGAGGGACATTATGATTGGGAAGGTGGAGAATCAACGTAAGAAAGGGAGATTCTCAACAAGGTAGATTGACATGATGACTATAGCGACGGGCCCAAGGATGTCAGAGGAAGGCACAGGATAGGTAGGGTTCAGACCCATTCTTTATAGGATAGCTATGAGTTGTAGTCAACTCAACACCACATAACCACAACATAAATAAATAATTTTCCCATTTAGTTTTTCTCTTTACTAGATGGGCTAAATCAAAGTATTTACCTCAGACAGTTCAGATCAAGAAAGCTGGCACTTTAGGTACTGTAGACATTTCTCAGGTAATCCTTCCTTTAACTGTGCTAACAAATCTGGCTAGAGAAAGATCAGCAATCTCTGTCCATGAGATTTACAGACTCTGAAAATCTGCTGGAGGGTAAGTTCTGGGGAGATTCTGACTCTGGCAATGAGGTGGTGTTCAGGTGTAACAACTCCTGTTAACAGTTTCCAAAAGTGCTTTCAGGTGCCATACGTGCGTACAAGTAAGAAGAGTGACTGTAGTCATGAAGAGGAGCCCACAGTACATAGCCCGTGATAGGCTCCATCCTGAAAGAGAAAACTTGCTGTGTTTGTTCCATGATGACTAAGCGCTAATCAGATAGGTGTCATCTTGAGAGTGAGAAACTTCCAGTGCACGTCCTGTGATGACTAAGTTGTTGTTGTGATAGGCTGTCTAGTCAGCTGTGGCTCATAACTACCCTACGGACAACAGGTCAGAATCTTACCATTTCCTTCTGGGTCCTCAGGATGCTATGTTATAGTAATAGTGTCAATCTGCAACGGGCAAGAAAGCAATAGCAGACAAACATTTCTTTAATAATATTTTAAGAGATAAAAGTACGCTTTTAGTAAAGTCAGTCAATGAAAGCTGGAATCTTTTATTCTCTTAGTGTAGAAGGAAATTATTTTTTTCAGATAAATGATTTATTGTATCTTTAAATTCCAAAATCATCTTCCTATCAGGAGTACAACTTGGGTGTTTGCTATCTCTTTGTACTTTTAGATTTGTTTGTTTATTTCCCGTGAGTTAGAGCTTTCCCTTCTTTGCACCTGTTACTGTGCTCTATCATCTTTATTTTTTATTAATTTTTTTTTGAGGCAGGCCTTCTTATCAAGTTCCCATCCTTTCACTCCTCTAGTTTGCCTCTCTACACTCTAGTCTGTAACTAGGCATTATTTCCTTCTGATGAAGGGCATCAAAGATGACCTTTTTAATGAATAGGAGGAAAACTTGCAACTGTTTTAAACTTTAACTGAGTTACTGCTAGGTTTGCACCAAAGGATAAACTTCCTTATTTTCCAATTTTTCCCCCCTCCATACATGATGAGTTGAATTAAAGTCTTTTCTCCTAAGATTCTGTTCATACCAGGAAAGCTAGCCAGTACTCAATATATGCAGGCATCACAGGGCCCAGGAAACACACGCTTGATTTTCTGCAGCAAGCTTTACAAGACATCTTCTCATATTCATTGTATCTACTTTGCCTGAATATAACCCCTGCAAAAGTGCTGAAAGAGACATGAGCTTTTCCCTGAACCTAGTTTAGAACTACCTGCTTAGCATGCATCACTTACTGAGGCAGATTTGGAAAGCTCACATTCCTTGTCTTTCTATGTGCAAATCCAATAAACTTTTTTATTTTTCTACTCCAACCCTTGTCTCCAAGATTGGTTTTTCTGGTAGCAAGCAACAGAACTGCATTCCTCTGGTAATAACTTTGTCTTGTTTAGAGTTTTCCTCTATTTCTCTGACCCTTTAACTGGCACAGGGTAGGGCAGGGTTCACTTGATGGCACCTAACAACAACTTTAAATCTTTTATTTCTTTTTTTCATTCCAATCCCTGTCTTCAAGAGTGGGGTATTTTTGGTGACAGAGAGTAATTTTCCACTGACAATGTCATGTTTATATTCCTTTAAACTTGTTTTATTTCTGTCTCAGAGTAATTTAGAGGTGAAAATAATAAACAGTGTCACTGTATTATTATACGAATACAACTGCAAAATTCACCCCAAAAAGTATCAACTTTCAAGGATTAAAACAACAGCCAATGAAGTTAGATCCTTACATCTGTAAATTTCAACTTGGAATTTAATCTTATAAGTGGTCACATTTTCATTAATCATATACATGTTCATTTGTTGCTTAAATCATACTACTGTTCAGAGGAAAGACTTCTTTTTTTTCATCCAATATACTCAGCATGCAATGAGACCCAAACAGGTTCAGTACTAAGGTTTCAGGTCTAGCTATAGATCTGGTCAACAACAGACGTCTGAATCCTGTTAGAACAACAGATTCTTTTCTTTTTATTCTTCACCCAAGTTTTTGTAGACCTTTGGCTAATCCAATAGATCTGATGAGAGAACTCTGCAGGAAACATTATTTTCAGAAAAGAGGATGAGAAAGAAGATAAGGAAGGAAATAGCAGCTAATTTGTCTTGAGCCCTTCCTAACCTAAGGATCTTTATTTAATAGATGAG